TGTGATAACGTGCTTTGCTAAAGCTGATTGGGGGAAATGTAGGATATAGTGTGAGGAGTCGGTCCACCTGCTAACATCAGAGGGAAGCATAGAGGTCATTACAAGCCACATAACGCACCATAAAGGAGGCAGAGAACAGTATGCCCAAAACAACAACCAAGGGTAGGAAGAAAGTGGTGCCATGGTGGAATGAGGAATGCAGCAGGGCTACTAAAGAGCGGAACCATGCACTTAGAGAATTAAAGAAAAACACAACACAAAATAATGTTATAGTAGAGTTTCAAAGGAAAAGGGCAGCTGCTCGAAGGACAGTAAAATACACACAAGAGAACATGGAGAGAATTGTGTTCTACCATTGGCAGAGGAGTAACATTAGGTGATGTCTGGTCCATGTTTAAGCAGATGAGTGGGAAAAGGAATCCATTACAATCAGCTTTGGTTGATGGGGAGAGGCTGGCAGTGACAGATAAAGAGAAGGCAGGTATGTTAGGAAGGACACTTGCAGCAGTACATAGTGGGGAGCATCTCAGTGATATCCATAGGCAGCAAAAACAGCAGTTACTAGCAGAGAATGAAAACGTGAAGGAGAAGAGACAGGATAATAGGTCCGCTCTGGATGTGGAGTTTACAATGTCAGAACTCAAAATAGCCTTACAAGGTACAGGATATACAGCCCCAGGACAAGACCAGCTATGCTATGCTATGTTTAGACAGTTACCTATGGAAACTATGACAATGGTGCTGAGTCTTTTCAATACAATCTGGAGAGAAGGAGATATGCCAAATTGCCAAGTGTGTGGAAAACAGCAGTCGTGCTACCATTCAATAAGCCAGGGAAAGATACAGCTAACCCGTAACTACAGACCAATAGCTCTTACACCACACCATGTAAATGGATGGAAAAGATCATTGTCCGTAGGCTCTCACATGTACTGGAACAGACTCAGGCTGCTGAGTAGTTTTCAGAGCGGATTTCGTAAAGGGCGGTCCACAATAGATGCGTTAGTAAGAGTGAGTAACGATGTGGAAAAAATATTGAAAATGAAAGAGATAATGGCAATAGTGTACGTTGACATTGAAAAGGCGTATGACTCTGTGTGGAGGGAGGGGTTACTGATCAAATTGAGTAGAATGGGTATGGGAGGGAGAATGTTCAATTGGGTAAGGGCCTTTTTAACAGACAGGACATTTAGAGGAAAGGTTGGAGCAGATATTTCCAATTATTTAGAAATAGAAAACGGTATTCCCCAAGGGAGTGCAGTCAGTCCAATATTATTTAACATCATGATTAATGACATATTTACATGCTTAGACACATGCATCCAGTGGGCTCTACACGCAGATGATGGGGCTATGTGGATGAGGGGAAGACGTGCCCCATACGTAATGGAGAAGCTAGAGCGATTAAAAAAGTGGAGAGGTGGTCATATAACTGGGGATTCAAAATGTCAGAAAGCAAGTCATGCTCCATGGTATTTACAAACAAACACAAGATTGATGGCCAACAGCTAACTCTATATGATCGTCTAATGACAAAGGTGAATGAGTTCAAATACCTAGGACTGTGGTTTGATAGCAAATACACATGGAACATGCATATTAATCAAGTGGAAAACAAAATGCTAAAAAGTATTAAATGTATTGCGAGCTGTAGCTGGATGCAACTGGGGCGCAGGCAAACAAGCATTAATAGACATTTACAGATCAATGATGAGGTCCACAACAGACTATGGTTGTATAGCGTATGGAGCAGCAGCAAAAACATCACTTACAAATGGATAGAATACAATATAAAGCATTGCGGCTGTGTTGGAGCGATAAAGTCATCCCCTATCAATGCAGTTCTGATAGAAGCAGGAGAGACACCTCTGGAGATCAGAAGAGAGAAACTTGCTCTGTCACACTGGGTCAGGCTACAAGGAAGTGGAGAGGAACATATCACTAACAGAAAACTACAGGATTGCTGGGAATATACAAAGTTCCAGGGACGTGGGTTTGGCTGGACGAGTGAGGAGAGAACGAGGGCATGTGGAGTGGAGACCATCACGTGTGCCAAAGCAACCCCATTTAGCCGTGTTCCCCCATGGCTTTCCCAGAAGCTAACATAGATGTGAGTAGGCCTATCATGGAAAGGAAAAAAGAGTGGCAAATAAATGAAGTGGGAATTAAAACAAGTATCTGAACGAAAAGTACTACCATTTCCTACAAATGTATACAGATGGTTCTAAGAACAAGGAAGAGTGTGTTGGAGTTGGCATATACATCCCAGACTTTAAAATATCTATTTTAAAGAGCGTCTGATCAATTATCAGTGAACACAGCAGAAATGCTGCTGTAATAATGGGATTGCAGTGGGTTGAAGAGGTCAGAGCAGATAGGGTGGTGATATGCACAGATTCATTGTCCATACTACAAAGCATACAATCAACAACTACTAGAGAAGACATTCTCATAGAACTGAATCATAGCCTGTCAAGACTTCACAGAGGCGGGATAGATCTACAGTTCTGCTGGGTGCCTGCTCATGAGGGGTGAAAGGGAACGAGTGTGCATGAGGGGGTGAAAGAGAACGAGTGTGCATGAGGGGGTGAAAGGGAACGAGTGTGCATGAGGGGGAGAAAGGGAACGAGTGTGCATGAGGGGGGGAAAGGGAACGAGTGTGCATGAGGGGGTGAAAGGGAACGAGTGTGCATGAGGGGGTGAAAGGGAACGAGTGTGCATGAGGGGGGGAAAGGGAACGAGTGTGCATGAGGGGGTGAAAGGGAACGAGTGTGCATGAGGGGGTGAAAGGGAACGAGTGTGCATGAGGGGGGGAAAGGGAACGAGTGCTCATGAGGGGGTGAAAGGGAACGAGTGTGCATGAGGGGGTGGAAGGGAACGAGTGTGCATGAGGGGGGGAAAGGGAACGAGTGCTCATGAGGGGGTGAAAGGGAACGAGTGCGCATGAGGGGGGGAAAGGGAACGAGTGCTCATGAGGGGGCGAAAGGGAACGAGTGCGCATGAGGGGGGGAAAGGGAACGAGTGCTCATGAGGGGGTGAAAGGGAACGAGTGCGCATGAGGGGGGGAAAGGGAACGAGTGCTCATGAGGGGGTGAAAGGGAACGAGTGCGCATGAGGGGGTGAAAGGGAACGAGTGCTCATGAGGGGGTGAAAGGGAACGAGTGTGCATGAGGGGGCGAAAGGGAACGAGTGTGCATGAGGGGGCGAAAGGGAACGAGTGCTCATGAGGGGGCGAAAGGGAACGAGTGCTCATGAGGGGGCGAAAGGGAACGAGTGCTCATGAGGGGGCGAAAGGGAACGAGTGCTCATGAGGGGGTGAAAGGGAACGAGTGCTCATGAGGGGGTGAAAGGGAACGAGTGCTCATGAGGGGGTGAAAGGGAACGAGTGCTCATGAGGGGGTGAAAGGGAACGAGTGCTCATGAGGGGGTGAAAGGGAACGAGTGCTCATGAGGGGGTGAAAGGGAACGAGTGTGCATGAGGGGGTGAAAGGGAACGAGTGTGCTGATAAATGAGCAGAAAGTGCACTACAAAAGGAAATAACATTACAGTTCAACTTGGAGAAGGAAAAGCAGTCATTAGGAAGGAAGGGAAGGAGATCTGGCAGAAGAGGTGGAGGAAGACCAGAGAGCCAAAGAGTGTCACAAAGTACAAAATACAATTACAATTAATATTCATAAAGAAAGAAACAGAAGGGAGGAAATCACGATAGCTCGACTCAGAATAAATCACACGGCTTTGGTGGTACTCCAAATGGTACTCTGTATGTCATGGGGGAAAGTGACAGTGACAAGTGTGGGAACTGTGCAGTAAAAGAAGATGGAGAACATATCTTGTTACATTGTGACATCTATAAAGCAGAAAGAGAACAACTAAAGGCTAAAGTGTTAGAGGCAGAGAGCGAGTGGAGTGTGGTTGGTGTTTGGGAACTAAAGGAGAGCGAGTGGAGTGTGGTTGGTGTTTGGGAACTAAAGGAGAGCGAGTGGAGTGTGGTTGGTGTTTGGGAACTAAAGGAGAGGGAGTGGAGTGTGGTTGGTGTTTGGGAACTAAAGTAGAGGGAGTGGAGTGTGGTTGGTGTTTGGGAACTAAAGGAGAGGGAGTGGAGTGTGGTTGGTGTTTGGGAACTAAAGGAGAGGGAGTGGAGTGTGGTTGGTGTTTGGGAACTAAAGGAGAGGGAGTGGAGTGTGGTTGGTGTTTGGGAACTAAAGGAGAGGGAGTGGAGTGTGGTTGGTGTTTGGGAACTAAAGGAGAGGGAGTGGAGTGTGGTTGGTGTTTGGGAACTAAAGGAGAGGGAGTGGAGTGTGGTTGGTGTTTTGGGAACTAAAGGAGAGGGAGTGGAGTGTGGTTGGTGTTTGGGAACTAAAGGAGAGGGAGTGGAGTGTGGTTGGTGTTTTGGGAACTAAAGGAGAGGGAGTGGAGTGTGGTTGGTGTTTGGGAACTAACGGAGAGGGAGTGGAGTGTGGTTGGTGTTTTGGGAACTAAAGGAGAGGGAGTGGAGTGTGGTTGGTGTTTGGGAACTAAAGGAGAGGGAGTGGAGTGTGGTTGGTGTTTGGGAACTAAAGGAGAGGGAGTGGAGTGTGGTTGGTGTTTTGGGAACTAAAGGAGAGGGAGTGGAGTGTGGTTGGTGTTTGGGAACTAAAGGAGAGGGAGTGGAGTGTGGTTGGTGTTTGGGAACTAAAGGAGAGCGAGTGGAGTGTGGTTGGTGTTTGGGAACTAAAGGAGAGCGAGTGGAGTGTGGTTGGTGTTTGGGAACTAAAGGAGAGGGAGAGCTACCAGAAAGGCACTGTTCACATTCTTGAGTGAAACTGGGGTAGGAAAAATAATTTAACATTAGGCAAGGAAAGAAGATAGATTTTGTTTTTGTTTTATTTATTTCATGGTTTTATTGATTTATTTTATTTTGATTAGAGCATAAGTTAAAGAGTTGGAATGATGTGATGATTCATACTCATGTACAGTAGGTGGCGGTATGCACCTTTTAAGTTGTTTGCAATCCGCCAAAAGCAAGAGAAGAAGAAGAAGAAGTATCTGACGTCACTTCCTGTGCTGCGCAGAAGAAGACGCAGACAACATGGCGGCGGTAGAGAAGTCCACTAAAGATCGTCTCCTCTCAGTTCTGGAGGATCTGGAGGTTTTATCTCGGTACAGTTGACTCTTTATTACTCTTTATTACCCCCTCCTTCATGGCGCTCTCTCCAGGGATGTTTCTGTGTTAGTGGTTCTCCTGGCGAACCCATCTGAGAGGAGCCGGGTGTTGTGTTTATATACATTTACTCAGTACTTGAGTACACTAAAGAGCTACTGTGTACTTTCCCTCCACTTCATGTATTAATACCTTCAGTTACTTCACAGATGTGGATGAATGATGTGAAATCTAATCAAGTGTTGAATCAGACTTTAGTTCCACCTGGAGTAAATCCACCAGCTACCCTGCAGAATACAAAGTACTTCAAACTAGCTGCACCTTCACCAGCTCTGAGAACACTTTCATGATCAATCATTATAAAACATATATATATATTATTCTGAAATGGACCAATCTGCACAACGAATACTTTTACTGTCGCTACTTTCACTATATTTAGATGAGAATACTTTTATACTTTCACTTGAGGAACATTTTGAATGTGACTTTTACTGTAACAGAGTATTCCTACACTCTGGTACTTCTACTTTTACTCAAGTACCAGACCTGAGTACTTTTACTTTTACTCAACTACAAGATCTGAGTGCTTCTATTTTTACTCAACTACAAGATCTGAGTACTTCTACTTTTAGTCAAGAACTAGATCTGAGTACTTCTACTTTTACTCAAGTACAAGATCTGAGTACTTCTACTTTTAGTCAAGAACTAGACCTGAGTACTTCTACTTTTACTCAAGTACAAGATCTGAGTACTTCTACTTTTACTCAAGTACAAGATCTGAGTACTTCTACTTTTAGTGAAGAACTAGATCTGAGTACTTCTACTTTTACTCAAGTACAAGATCTGAGTACTTCTACTTTTACTCATGTACAAGATCTGAGTACTTCTACTTTTAGTCAAGAACTAGACCTGAGTACTTCTACTTTTACTCAAGTACAAGATCTGAGTACTTCTACTTTTACTCAAGAACTAGATCTGAGTACTTCTACTTTTACTCAAGTACAAGATCTGAGTACTTCTACTTTTACTAAAGTATCAGACCTGAGTACTTCTACTTTTACTCAAGTACAAGATCTGAGTACTTCTACTTTTAGTCAAGAACTAGATCTGAGTACTTCTACTTTTACTCAAGTACAAGATCTGAGTACTTCTACTTTTACTAAAGTATCAGACCTGAGTACTTCTACTTTTACTCAAGTACAAGATCTGAGTACTTCGACTTTTACTAAAGTATCAGACCTGAGTACTTCTACTTTTACTCAAGTACAAGACCTGAATACTTCTACTTTTACTCAAGTACAAGACCTGAGTACTTCTACTTTTACTCAAGTACAAGGTCTGAGTACTTCTACTTTTACTCAAGTACAAGGTCTGAGTACTTCTAATTTTACTCAAGTACAAGATCTGAGTACTTCTACTTCACATCAGCGGTAGATAAAGTAATAAAACATGATATTTGTGTTTCTCTCAGGGAGCTGATCGAGATGTTGGCGCTGTCCCGGAGCCAGAAGCTTCCGCAGCCTGGGGAGGACGTCCGGGTACACACACACACACACACAGTATATTTGTTGTCTCCCTGGTGCAGAGGGACCAGGGTCATGTATATTAAAGTGTGTGTGTGTCTCAGGTCCTGGAGCTGCTGGTGCAGAGGGACCAGGAGCTCCAGGACCTGATGGAGGTGGCTCAGCAGCAGGGGAAGGTTCAGGAGGAGATGCAGCTGCTGGAGAAGGAGGTGGAGAAGAGAGACAGCGACATCCAGCAGCTGCAGAAACAGCTGAAGGAGGCCGAGCACATCCTGGTGAGGCTTCACACACCACTCAGAGCACCTCCATTCGTCCCACTGAGGGCACATGTACACGGGTTACAGACAGCTTCAAGGTCTCCTATCTGCTTACTCAAATTAAAATGAGCATCTCAACGTCAGGATGCAGCGTCACAATATGGATCTGCATTTATTTACTCGAAGTTTAAGTTTATTGAAAGTAGGGCTGTGCTTTTAATCGCGATTACGATTATGGCTTGAGACGATTATGAAAACAGCATAATTGACAAAATACGATTATTTTGCTGGGTGTGCTTTCGCCCCTCCCTAAAAGCCCACTCGGCCACGTGGGAGTGACATGTGTTCAGCGCGAGCGAAGATGTCAGAACAAGAGCAGCAACTCGTTAAAAAGAATGGTCGCGGGGAGATTCCTAGTCGATCGCGAGATGTGTCTAAAAATAGAACAACAACATTCTGTTTTATCGTTAATGTCCTGCAACATAATCTTCCCGTGCCAGAATAATGCTCTTGAACGCATCAAAGCTTTGTGATTGGCCGGCGTGGCTGGTGGGCAGTGGGCAGTGCAGTGACAGTCCGCACACACACAAGACCGCAATTATGGCAGAAGCAAAAAAGCCCAAAATATATAGTTTTCACTCCGAGTGGGAGGATGATTATTTTTGTATCTATTCCAATTCAAAGTCCATCTGTCTCTCATCTGCAATGCGAGCGTGGCTTTATCGAAGAAGGGTCATTTAGGAGCGGCATTTCAAAACAGTGCACAAACGCTACGAGACGGAATTCCCTCCTGATTCTGCCCTACGCTCCAAAAGGGGAGGGGCCTGAGAGGACAGCTAAATGCACAGCAGTCCATTTTCACCAGGCCCAACAACAAGAGCAAGGCTGCTACCAGAGCATCTTATCGTGTCAGTCACGTTCTGGAGAAACACATGAAGTCTTTCAAAGACGGCGAAGTTGTGAAAGAAGCATTCCTGGAGGCTGCCGACGCGCTTTTTGGGGACAGTAAAAATAACAGAAGCATTTCAACAGGTTTTTCATTTAATAAAAACTCAAGTTAGATACCGTTATTAATCAGCTGTGAGTTTTAGTTTGAACTTATTCATTATAATTATTGTACAAAATGGTATAAGAATGCAAACTTAAATTGATTATAGTCTATTATCAATTCAGGTTAAGAAACTAGTGTTGCTTGCATCCTATTTTAAAGGCATTTCTTTTTATACTCTAATAAAATGCAACAAAAAAGGGTTTGATTCTATTAATGTTGTCTTTTTTATTGCACTGTTTCAGCAGATTCCTGTGTAGCTTCAGATCTGAGTCGTCTTATTAGTAAGCCTCATTTATACTTTTGTAGCAACACTATTTTTATATAATGGCAAAGAAAGGGTTCAGAGTCTTTTCTTTGTCCTGTGTCCTATGTGGCAGCACTGCCACAAGTTCCTCTTCAGAGGGTCTTCAGTACAGGTTATCGTCCCCTGCCTGCGCTCCTCTCTGAAACCAGACCATGTCAACAGGCTGGTGTTTCACGAGCAGCCCTACCAGCATTTGCCATGGTGGCCTAAACATTTTTATTTGGTCTTAAATTATATTTATTGTATTTATTTCCTGTTACTTCTGGACCATGACGGTGGGCCAGCCTTCAACGTTTAACTGAGTGGAATATGTTGAATATGTTGAACCAACATGTTGGCTATATGTTAAGGAGTTTTCAGTAGGTTGTGACAGTGCACTGCAACATGTTGGATATAATTTATTTTGGTCTAATTTATTTTTATTTATCATATTAATATATGTTTAGTATGGTTTTGGAAGTGCGCTCCAACATATTTGTTGATCTTGTTTATTGGTAAAATATTATTTGTTTTAAAGTTCAATAAATGGTCAATGAATAATCGTCAAAATAATCGTGATATCAATTATTGACCCAAATAATCGTGATTATGATTTTTGCCATAATCGCACAGCCCTACTGAAAGTATTTTTTACTCTTTCTCTCTTGGATTCTAAAAAGCCTGTTAGCTCTCCGGGATGTTGGAGGAGTGACCCAGATCTGTGATTGGTCCTTGCTTTGGGCGGAAAGGGCTTTCAAAGTCTGTGAATGAGATATTTAGGGAGGGGTGTGAGTACTAGGTTGGGTATCGTTTGAATTTCCACGATTCCGATTCCACTTTTCGATTCCGGTTCTCAATTCCGGTTCTTTGAGGGGTAAAAAAATGATACATGCTTCTTCCACCAAAAAAAAAACATTTATTCGAGAAACTTTTACACAGGTTAGTTTCCAGTAATATTCACATGAATCAGTTTATATTCACTGCTCTGTAACCTGAGAACCACTGAAGCTACAACAGTGCAGCTTTTAAAGAACAGTTCTTGTTGAGAAAAACAAGCATATCGTACCGGTGCTCTCTCTCTCGCTCACTCGCACTTTGGCTGTGAGCTGCGGGCGCCAGATAAGCCAACATCCCCGATTTTCATCACTTACAGCGCCCATCGTACAGGGCAAATGAAACGTGTAACCGGGGTGAAAAGGGTGTTACATTTACTTAATTGAGAATGTTGTTACATCAAGGCCGAACATTAGGATGAGCCCCAACGGTCAAAACATTTTGTTTCCCTCCCAGAGCTGCCAGCGCAGCGCCTCCATAGATCTGGCGCCCTAGGCGAACATCTATAACGCCAGTGCGACGGGCCGGCCCTGGTCCCAGGTTACGCTGTAGGAAGTGTAGGTACAACGCTACATTTCCCGCCCCGCCGCAGTCATACAGTAGGCTACGGAGAGCGGCGAGAAACATTTCCTCAGGCAACCGGTTCTCGGTACCCAACCCTAGGTGTGAGCCCTGTAACAGACGGTGAAACCTCAGTAATGGCGCTTTTCCACTGCAGGGCCTCGTACGGTATAGCTAGGCCTCGCTAGGCCAGGCTCACTTTATGCTGCGTTTCCATTACAGTTCAGTAGCTGGGGCAGTAACTATAGTAACGCAGTGTAGGCGGAGCCGTGGCGTCATCTTCAATGAGAACCACAAAACCAACATCAGCCGTTAGCTCTTAGCCCTCAGAGCTCACAGCTCTTCATATCTGTTCAGAAACTAGACACAAGTTAAACAAGTACAAACCACAGACTGCCTGTGTCATGGAGAGTACAGTCGCTGCTTTATTTATGTCTGTAGGCCGTTGTTGTGAGTGTGGACGGTCGGAGCATATATAACGTTAGCTTAGCCGATCTCCATTCAGAAAACACACATTTAAAAAGATGTTTCTCTGCCGTCTGTCATCATCTCCTTGGTAACAGCTGGAGGAGAGGGGGTGCGGCTACAATGACCTGTGATATCTGCCTGAACATTGTATAATAGGAGCCTTTAAATCTAAGCAGTCCTCTTTGTCCCCAGGCGACTGCAGTGTACCAGGCCAAGGAGAAACTGAAGTCCATCGACAAAGCCAGGAAGGGTGAGCGCCGCTTCCTGGTGAAGGGACGTTTTTACCTCTGTGTGTTTTAGTGTCTGACGCTCTCTCTCTCTCTCCTCTCTCTCTCTCCGTCTCTCTCTCTCTCTCTCC